TAGGCAGGAGCTGCCGAGATCCAAGAGTTCAGGCTCTTTTAACCTCTTTCCACGGCTATCACCTTGGAATAGGTCACCTCTACCCTGCACTTAGCTTCCTTCAAGTCCGGTCGCCATAAAGGTAGTCAGTGCACGCTATTTTCCCTACCCGAAATGGGCTGTCCTCAGTAAAACATCACTAAACCAAACTGCTGGTATTTTAACCCCACATATTTATTACTATTCCCCATGCTTTTGCTTCTCCTGAAATGTTCTTTGCAGCTCTAATTGACAATCCAAATATAATAATACTTTGAAGTCACAATCAATGTCTTTTCAAGGTCAAAGTGGTTAAACAAACAAAAACACCATTTTGTGTGTGTGTTTTTTTGTTTTTTTTAGTACAACCTGTTTCTCTCTGAATCTCACTAAGAGTTTGACACATTCATTTATAACAAAGAAACAGCTGGTCCCAGGCTGACCAAGAATTATTTTCTTTAGTTTTTAGAAAATGTAACTTCAGAACCCAAGCCGATTCCCTATGACTTCTAAGCCTTGGTTTTTGCACTACATACACCAGTTTCATTAGGTGAGTCTGGAAAATTAACAGAAGTGCAGTCTGCAGTGGTATGACATGCAGCACGGAATGACTTTACTAACTTTGGGTTAAAATGAGGAAAAAATTTTGCTGGGCAAATGTAAAAGTGAGAAAGTGAAGTCAAAACATCCCTCCATTTATGTTTGAACATGACTAGTCAAGTACAAACTTAAGGCAAGAAAAAAAGGAAAATGTAAGTATAACAAGGTATGTGGAGAAATACATATATTTCAGCATTTATATATAATAGATCGGTGATGTATCAGTATTGTTAGGGATATACTATGAATGAAAGCCTCTGTTTTACCTTTTTATCATATACATAAAAATATATACATTGCATATGCAAGTATATATATTATTCTTCAGCAAATTTTATAAAAATATCAAAATATATGATATATAAAACAAAGGCCTTTGTTCATAGTATATCCCCAATAATACTGACTTGTATTAATCTACAACTGTTTGTTTGTAAATACTACTATTAAGTAAGAGTTAAATTTTGTCACTAGAAGTCACTCAATTGAACATGGTCATCTCTCACTACCTGAGCACTGTGAATTATTACTAGAGAGAAGAATAGATTTTAGAAAGTTCCTAACACATCAACTTTCCACCTAGACAAAGAACAGGTACAGGATTCTAAGGATAATATATAGCTTGAAAAGATATATTGAATGGAACATGAGAGGGGGCTAAAAAGGTTAAAAAGTTTTCATCTCAAATTCTAAGCTCACAACTGGTAGATACTGGAAAACAGACTGCAGCTTATTCCTATTCATCATATACTTCTTATCTATTTCCTTGGCATTTATGACATATTTCCTGTCATAACAACTGAACTTTTACAACCTAGACAAAGGGAATAGAAATTTAAGTCGTATTTTTAGAATTCAAATAGATTTCATTATGACATCGCGTGCATATTATATTACCTGTACCATCAAATAGATTTCACTATGATAGAGTGTGCATGTTATATTATCTGCAGCATGATACAGAATTCCATGTCTCTTCATGCATTCACATTCAG